AGGTTTCAATGAGGTAGGTTGTGTCTTTAGTCTGCTCGAAATTTAATTTTTTTTTTTATACCCAAATACATCTTAGTTACTAAGCTTGATGAATTATAGTAGAATTCTATGGTATTGGTGTAGTAATTTATGATTTTTTTAGTTATTCAAAAGTATATATAAAACCTAAAAAAAATAGTTTGTTTGACATCCTCCATGTGCAAAGTTTTATAAGGCTTAGCAACCTATGTCAAGCAGCAACTGAGTACAAAGGTGATAACTAGAAGAGATAATTATTTGCTTTATTTCTTTATTTACTGTTCTATGTTTCAGGAAAAATAAGTTTAATTGTATTGTAATTGAAATGTGACTGTATTTTACAAAATACTAGTCGAGTAAAACACAGCCACAACAAGTTACTTTGTACAGACCAAAGGCCACCTTCATGTTACTTGATACGGTAACATGGGTGCATGTGAGCCACATTGTTGTAACTTCTGTATCGTTAGCCAGGCATGGGTGAAAGATCAATATAATATAAATAATAAATATTCTGTGTTAAACAAATGGCTCGATTAACATACCACCAACACCCAGTCAACAACATAGTGTTAAACCAACTGCCATGACATCAATTACTCAATAAACACACAATAAATATCTACATCTGTGTACAGACACTTAAAAAAAAAGAGGGCAGAGCATTACAGAAAAACATAAATTATGCCTCTTTCATTCTAAAATGAACACAAATTATAACACAAAAACATAAATATTTAGATGAAATAGCTTAAATCTCATAACATTATACATATATTTTTGTAGATATTTATTGTGTGTTTATTGAGTAATTGATGTCATGGCAGTTGGTTTAACACTATGTTGTTGACTGGTGTTGCTGGTATGTTAATCGAACCATTTGTTTAACGTTACTGTCTGCAGTCGTTGCTGGCAGGAATGTTGAGAACGAGCATGTACTCCAGGGCAAACAACCTTGCTGGGCTCCCTTTCTCTCTCTCTCTTTTTTTAACATTTTCAAGAATTTAATAAAAAGAAGATCCTAAATTAGGACAGCAACGAGCTCATAAACCAGACAAAATCATAGCAGCAGCCGTTTTTACCTCACAGTATAAGCGTAAAAACGTTAATAAAGTAACAACAAACATCTATTAAATCTATAAAGTAACAAATACATATTAATTATTACTCAAATTATTATTTCAGTCATTCTTAATGTATCAAGCATCTATATGCAAAGAAAAGCCAAAAACTATGGTTTTTATCATTAAATGAAGATGTAGCCTAAAGATGCTTTGTGAAGATGAATTACAGCCACACCTAAAATGAAAGATAAAACTTACAAAGGCTTTCCAGCTTCAAGTAAATAGGGGTTTAGCAAGCCTGCAGGTACAACTGAAACGAGAACAACATACATTCTGTAAAAGCTGTTACTCATGAAACATTCATAAAACAGGAGTAACTATGTAGAAAATTCAATCAACTCAAAAGCACTGTATTTATTCCCGAACTTATTAAGAAATGCATCATATAGCACATTTCACTGCACTGCAACTTACAATATGTCTGCTGTACAATAAATGACAGATTGGAATTTTAAAAACAAATACTGAGTCAGTTACCAGAATATTTATATACAGCATCTACTGACTAGGAACCACAGTCCAACTTGAATGAATATAAACAATAAAAAAATAAACAAACAATGTAAAAAAATACTTACTGAATCGGTTACCAGAATATTTATATACAGCATCTACTAACTAGGAACCAAAGTCCAACTTGAATGAATATAAACAATAAAAAAAATAAACAAATAATGTAAAACAATACTTACTGAATCGGTTACCAGAATATTTATATACAGCATCCACTGACTGGGGAACCAAAGTCCAACTTGAAAGTTAAAAAACAAAAAATTATGTAAAAACATATGCTGATTTGGAATTATAAACATAAAACAAACAAAATGCTGAATGTTTTCAAGGTTTCTTTAAATTTTCGATGTTAAAGCATAAGTAAATGACATACCAGCAACGGAGGAGGGCAAAGGGGAGCTACTGCCCAGGGGCCCGGGCGAATGAAAGCCGGTTATGCTGTAAAGCCCGTTTGTTTATTAGTTTATTAGCCTACTTTTCTTTTATTCAAATTGTGATTTCCTTACAATTATTTTAATGGCCACTAATAAAAATTAAAAAATTTTGCATGTAAATCCTTGGCTATTTGAAAATGATTGCCTATTTTGTTTATAAACAAATATTTAAGGGAGATATTATTACAAGTCATTTCTAGTAGCTACATACGCTTTGTGTGTAGAACCAATCACATTAAAAATCTGTTACATTTAGTTCACCTTAAAATTCTACCAAGCAACATATATCTAATACTTAAACATGATCATGTAAAACGTCTATCTAGCTATACGTATTTAACATTTACATAAGATCATGCTAAAAGTCCATTTACTTACACACATTTAATATGCACCATAACACACATCCCTGTCTAACTAAGCACATTTGATATTTTGAGAAGATAATATTCAAAGTCCATCTAGCTATGTGTGTTTAAAATCCAAGTTTTTTTTAATACATAATGTTCAATTTCACAAGCAAGTGTATAATATTTTAAAATGTAATGAAACCTGAGATGGTTGTATTTTAGAACTGCAACTACCCTATGGTAATAAGATTAAGTAAACTTCAAAGTGTTATCTCCAAAAGGTACCCCCTGTGCATCTTTATTCACTTTACATTAACAAAGTCAGGACATATAAACTACAGACAGCAGACAGATCTACACCTCATGTTATTTTGGTTATACAGTTCGGCATTATACATACAATTCATCTAACTTCTGTACCCATAATGGTAGAAAATAAAACATTATTCTACTACAGTGTATAATGTTATGTGTATTGTAAACATAAAATATTTTTGTTGACTTATGTTTATTCTACTACAGTGTATAATGTTATGTGTATTGTAAACATAAAATATTTGTTGACTTATGTTTATTCTACTACAGTTATAATGTTATGTGTATTGTAAACATAAAATATTTTGTTGACTTTTATAAATAGCAAATGTTGTGAATTCTAATCACAAGGATCTGAATCTATAGCTAAAACTTTAACAAACGCCTTATTAAAATATCATGGCCACTATCAACGCAGGGACTTTCCAAAACATTGGATAAAAACTAGTTAGTAATTTATAGCATCTAGAGATAATAATAATTGGATCGTACAGACTACTAACCATGACAATGATTGATATCTAATCATCACAATAAGTACTCACCAGACACTGATAGACTGAAAAACAAACTGTTACTGTTGGGTTTCTATATGAGACTGGTAAATTTTCGTGAATAATTTACACTACTGTATCATATCATAAGTAAACATATGATACCAACACAAGTCAACAAAAATATTTTATGTTTACAATACACATAACATTATACACTGTAGTAGAATAAACACAAGTCAACAAAAATATTTTATGTTTACAATACACATAACATTATACACTGTAGTAGAATAAACAGGCAGAACCACTTAATAAGAGTGTGTTTTGATAGTTGAGGCCCACATTGTAGCATTAAAGAAGTTACTGAAGGTGTTAAAGTCAACCAGGCTTAGAATTAGTTTTTCTTCAAACATAAGTAGCCAAGTTTACATTTTCATAAAATGTGTTGTCACACGCTCGGCTAACTTGTCAGTTGAGTTGACTTTCTATCGCTTAGCAACAATTTTGTTTTATTTCTAGCTATCACATTATTTAAATTAGCAGGCTATTAGGTACAGTTTTTCGCATACATTCTCTACAGTTATTAAAACAATGTAAACTTTTGTCACACAATCTGAAAAAAAAAAAGGTTATAGCTGCCAGTTTAATTGTGGTTTTGATTAATTTTTGTTAAATAGTGTTAATTGCTGTGCATCTTTAGTTTGGGTTTTACCAAGTATTTTCTAAAATAGTAAACGTAGCCAATAATCAAACTATAATGGAAGCAGATAATTATTAGGCTAGGGATCTGTTGATCAGAAAATTTCTATATTTTAATTATATGGTGATTACACTGAAAGGACAAAAAAGTTTATTTTTAGGTGAATCTTTAAAATGGTGCTCATTCTTTACAAACAGAGCCTGGAGATACGGTGCCTTAGGGACGGAGTTGGCTATGCAAATGTTGCGTGCTTTTGACAGAAAAGGTAAGTAAGACTGTTTTTGTTTGTAATAAAAACACCTTCCTTCGTATCCATGCTACTTTTATGTAAAATTCGTAGTGTTTTTATTTTTAGGAGCATTGAGATTGTCAGACTGTTGAGATAAAAAAAAAAGATTAACTTGAGGCTTAGGTTAAAGTTTTTTGTGTTCGTATCCAGTATTTATTTTAATTGTTTTCAAACTGCCACCCATTGGTAAGTCTGAGGGCTTATAATGCTAGAAATCAGGTTTGTGCTGAGCAGAGCAGAGATAGCCTATTGTGTAGCTTTGTGCTTAACAACAAACAAACAAAGCTTTCGCTTTAGTTATTTCGTTTTCTAACATTAATTGTAATTTTTTAAAAATCTTTAGGCATCCATTACAAAACAAACGGACAGTTAGGAAGTTGGATGACTAACTCTTCTTTGAAAACCTACCAGGATAAAATCATCTGCTTAGAAGACCATATCTCCACAATGTCTTATGAGAATGTTAAGGTAAAGTCTTGAATTGGGTAAATGCACGTGAAGTGTAACACTCTGGTGTTATCTGAGTTACTTGTGTAATGTATAGTGTGGTGTATAGAAGTTTACCAGTCTGAGGATTAAACTATAACACTGGTGGTGTTATCTGAGTTACTTCTGTAATATATAGTGTGATGTATAGAAGTTTACTAGTCTGAGGATTAAACTATAACACTCTGGTGGTGTTATCTGAGTTACTTCTGTAATATATAGTGTGATGTATAGAAGTTTACCAGTCTGAGGATTGAACTATAACACTCTGGTGGTGTTATCTGAGTTACTTCTGTAATATTCAGTGTGGTGTATAGAAGTTTACCAGTCTGAGGATTAAACTATAACACTGGTGTTATCTGAGTTACTTCTGTAATATATAGTGTGGTGTATAGAAGTTTACCAGTCTGATGATTAAAC